CTTTAAAGTGACAAAATAAAAAAACATTAAATGGTGACAACACAGGAAAAGTAAGGTAACAAAATCAGAGGTGGGTAGTAACTAACTACATTTACTCAATTAGATTCAGTAGAGTAACTTTATTGGGGGGAAAAGTACTTTCAAGAATAGTTTTAATGCACCACACTTTTTACTTTTACTTGAGTAATATTATTATGAAGTACTGCTGTTCAACTTGAGTAAAATTTTAGGATATTCTGTCCATTGTGAATAACTTTACTGAATATATTTTAACCAGAAATGCATCAGATAAGGACACAAGTCTATATGTTAATGGAGACTTCTTGGTTTTACACAGGCTTTGTTGTTCTAATGTTTTCTATCTGCTGAGCCTGTTGGAGGCCAAATGAATAAAATACAATATAATGTTATTGGATGTACTCTACTCACTACAAGTACTAGTTTCATAAGTTTTATTTTGTAATTATTTTGTTTGCACTAAGTGCTTTAATTTTAGCCTTAAAGATATCAAAATTTGTGCATAATTGAATCTAATTTTATGATCAATTATTCTGTACTTGAGTAACCTTTCTACCAAATACTTTTTTACTCTCACGTGAATAACTTCTTGAAAGGTTACTTTTTAATTTTACCTGAGTAAATGTATGTTAACGTAGTGCTACTCTTACTTGAGTAAATTTTTTGTGTACTCTTCTCTCCTCTGAGCAAAACGATGCATTATTCCACATCTTTGATCCCAAAACACACACACACTACTCAACCCTGGAATGCACCTAAAGTGATACATACCTCAAAGACATAATGTAAAACAAAATCTACATTTCTGTTTAGTTGTGAACGTTGATGTATTTGTAAAAATGGAAGCATAAATGCCAAGATAGGAAATAGCATCTCTACCATAGCAGACAAAGTATGTAGAGAAGGGTTGCATGTTTATGGCAAACACAATAAAACTTACATGTCATCTCTCCTGTCTCTCCTTCGATGTACTTCAGGACTTGATGTGTCTGTCAGATCATCTTCACTGGATATCTCCCTCATTCTGTCGTTGCCCTTGTATTGCTTGCACATTGAAGGGTTACTGCTGCCAGCTTTAGAGTCCAGGGGGACGGAGAAGGGTCTGTTCAGCTGGGGAACAGATGCTTTGCCGTCGCCTATCTGCTTGCTCTCGTTCTCCTTTGCGGCCTGGTTGTTGGCTGGCTCTGGCGATTGGATCTCCAAGTTTTGCTGCCTCTTCAATGCATGTTTCATTGAACTGTTGGCAAGAAGCATCAAATCAGACCCACGTGACAGAAGTTTGACTCAAGCTTTGCATCAGTTAACAAGTAGAGTCTAGTTTTTAGTGGAAATATTTTAGTATACATTAAATAAGATGAAACTAAAGCTCATATTTCTTGTTGAAAAATGACCTGTAAATTAGTTGTATCTTATTTCAAGTGTACTAAAATATTTGCACTAGAAACTAGATAAAAATACTTGGTAAGATTTTGTGTTTTTGAAGTGAAGATAAGCTAACCAAGGTTAGTGGGATCAACTCACTCACTTATTCTTTGGTTACCTAGCAACTCACTCACTTATTCTTTGGTTACCTAGCAACAACCTGTGGAGTGACTTGTGCAGTAGCAGTTTAAGGTTTTGCCACTGTGCCTCAAAATGCTTAAAAAAAAAAAAAAAAAAAAAAAAATATTAAAGAAAAAAAAAAAAAAAAAAAAAAAAAAAAACCCCTCCAAAATTTTAAAAAAAAA